CACCACGGAAGCAGAGTATATCGCAGCAACGGAAGCATGCAAGGAGATGCTATGGATGAAGAACTTCTTGCTTGAGTTAGGAGTAAAGCAAGAGAAGTACAACATTCTATGTGACAACCAAAGTGCTATACACTTGGCAAAGAATCCAACGTTTCACTCCCGCTCAAAACACATCGACATTCGGCACCACTGGATTCGAGAAGTTCTTGAAGATAAGCTTCTATATCTCAAAAAGGTACACACAGATGAAAACTGGTCAGATTTTATGACCAAGGTATTGCCGATCAAGAAGTTTGAAAATTGCTGCAAAGGTATGGGCATGAAGATGGTTTCGGGCTAAGTCGAAAGGGGGAGATTTGTTGGATTTTCCTCCATTAGCCCAAACCCAAACCCAAAGTTATGATCCATATTAAGAGCCCAAAAGAGAAGCATAAGGAGAAAGAATTCTCTAGAATTATGGAGAAAAATAGAGAAAGTTATGGAGTAGAATAATTAATGTTAGATATTTTGGATTATGATAATAATTTAGAGAAATCTAGAACATGTTAGAAGTTTCTCTCTCACTTGTATAAATAGAGGTGCTTAGCACCATTTGTAACAATCTAGAATTAAGAAGAAAAACATTTGTAAGAGAGAGAGTTTCTAAAAACAAACCTTTGTAGTAAATTCCTTTCCAAAAGAGAAAAATTTTTCTTCTTAAATTTCTTAGTTGTCTAAATCCCATCTTCATCTCACAAATAATATTGGGTGATTTCTCAACAATTTGTTTACACAAAACATCTCTCTTTTTACATTTGTATTTTACAGAGTATTATTACCCCAACATATGACTAACCATAACATCACTTTTTTACAAAACCCAGGAATTAAGAACAGCTGTTTGATGCAAAATAAAAACAACATACCCAGGAATTAACCTGAATGTTCTCCTACATATTTTATTAACATCATACAATTTTACAGTTCGATCCGGTCCGATCCAATCGAATATCAGACAGCTCTCAGCCTTCTCTATTCCCGTCTCCGTCGTGGTTGTTCTTGGTCCCTGGGAAGGTTGCCGATCGGATCAGATCGCGAGCGATCATGCTCTTGATTCGGCTTCTCCTAGGTTTCCACGTGATCGAGGTGGCTAGATCACGAGCGATCATGATCTTGACCCGACCTCTCTTCGGAGGAACAACTTGTTCGTCCTTTCCGGAGCGATTAGGAGATTGAAACTCCATGATCGTGATTCTGATTAAGAAAGAAAGTTATTGAAGAAAGAAATGAAAGAGGAGAATGCGTTCTCAATGCATTGAGAGAGTAGGATATATAGGGACCGACCACGACCAGAGGCTCACTGACCAAGTCTATCACTTGCAGAGCAAGTAAGCATAGAGGTATTTTAGTAATTAGACCAGTGGTGGGATTAACGTGTAGAGTAAGTGAAGTTTAATTTGACTAAGGCGAGGTTAACACGTGTCAGCTGTGATCACTCTCGTCCCGCGCTAGTACAGTCTTCTTAACCCAGCCCAGTAAATGATTGCATGATAAATTAGAAAATACAAGTCTTAACCCAGCCCAGTAATAGTTTATATTATAACCCAAATCAAAGATCATTAAAGTAAACCATAAATATACATTTTGGATTGATAAGAAAATAGTCATGTTGAAGAAAGTTGGGGAACAGAGATGAAGAGAATGCCTTCACTTGATGATCAAGCCAAACAATGCTGCATTATAATTGTAGAAGCTGAGTAATTTGTTCACTTGCCATGAGAACCTATAATAAGGGTTAGAAGTCCAAAGATTTCTAAGACTGCCACCAAGTTACCTCCTCTTTGAACCAAGCGACCTAAACCGAGTCCGGTTGAAAGAAAATGAGCCATATTAACTTTAGACAACATGCCTTTTGCCAGATGGATATGTCTTTATTTCCTAACCATCTTTCCCTTTTTGGTTTAGTAAACTACTTGATACATTACACAAACACTGTCTACCGTTTATCAACCAAATAAAACTTCAAGATTGTCTTTTTTTTTCTGCACACTTATAGATTATCTAGCAAGTATCTGTTAAAGTAGATGAACTTCCCAACCTAAAACCAATTGATCCATTTATCTTATATATTGCTAGAGATTCATTCCAACAACCAATGTGGAACCTTAATCCCTAATACGCCCCTTCGAGATGATGGTTTTTTGGCGTCAATTTCAGAATGTTCGGACAAAGATCGATGAGCCGACTTTGGGCTGGATCGATAAGGATCGGATTTGATTGCGTGAATCGTGGGCTCTAATACCATGTTAAAGTAGATGGATTTCCAACCTAAAACCAGTTGGTAATAAGTGGAGTGACCCATTTATCGTATATATTGCTAGAGATCCCTTCCAACAACCGATGTGGGACCTTAGTCCCTAATAGTATCATGGATGCTATATTAAATTTTAGTGGGGGAGAAGTTCAACTCTGGAGAGGGGAGTAAAATTACATATATGGATTTCACCTTAGAAGATATCTTCATATCCTCATATTGATTTGATCAAAGCTGAGACTACTGCAAGGACACGAGAGAAAAAAAAATTCGCAAAAGCATAGAAAGAAAAACAGCCATTCGGACAAAGGTCTTAAAATACAGATGACATAACATGGGACAAAGCTCTTTGAGATCATGGAGGAGAGACGACAGCATCATCATCATCCTCAAGGTTTCTGTATTTGTAAACCCAAGAACACACAAGGAAATAGCCAAGATTCAACACTCCTACAATAACTAAAACCCAATAAACATTGTCAACTCTTCCATGGTTTATGTCATCTGGTAACCAATCGGTTGTCCTCTGAATCACATCTATTAGAGCACTACTTGTGTAAAAACATATCCCAATCACCACCGAGGTTATCGACGTCGCCGTGTTCTTCATAGACTCTGGGAACTCTTGATAGCACAAAGCTACATTCCCTGGGAAGTGAAATGCCTCTCCTACAAGCAAAAGAAACATGATTAGTTTGCTCTGAATTTGGAAAATAAAATGGAAGCAAAATTCTTACCAATGCCTACTATGACTAGTGAAGGAAACAACCATAAGGCTGACATGTTAGCAACTGATGATGATGATTCAAGAAAATGACCCTTCTCTACTATCTTCAATCTCTTTGCTTCAACTATGGCAGTCAAGGCCATGCTTATTATGTTGAGAACATGGCCTACTCCCACCCTTTGAATCGGTGTGGGAAACTTTCCGGTTAGCTTTTGGTACAATGGGTAGAGAAACCTATCGTTCACTATGATAAAAGAGCATGTAGCGAGAAGTGTTACAACTTGGAGTGAGCCTGCTGGTATTTCGAACTTAGGACCAAGACTTCGGTCCATTACTAGACCCTGAAGAACTGTTAGGCTTAGTTGTGTTGCAATTGGAGTGCTCAAGAATATTATGGCTAACGCAAGAGGAATTATTCTGATGACCGCTTTGAAATCTTCCACTTGCTGAACACTGCATAGTCTCCATGGTTTGCTAATTGTACCGTCTGGTTTAACCTCATTTTCTTGTTTCAGCGCTGCACGGTTAAAGAACCTGCATATATATATATATATAAAGACTCATTAAAAACTCGGACTCAACTGCGGTTCTGGAACCTTTTTTTTAATACCAGGAGGTTCGGGACCTAAACCTGTACTCCTCAAGCTCGAAACCACAACATCACAACATGTAATATTAGGTTTTCCAGCTAGTTTCTTTTTTGAATACCAGGAGGTTCGGGACCTAAACCCGTAATCCTCAGGCTCGAAACCACAACATGTAATATTACGTTCTCCAGCTAGTTTTTCTTTTTGAATACCAGGAGGTTCGGGACCTAAACCCGTAATCCCCAGGCTCGAAACCACAACATGTAATATTAGGTTCTCCAACTAGTTTTTTTTTACCTGAAACTCTTTGTGGGTGCTGCTGCTGCCTTTGATTCACAGTGATAGTCTTTCTCGTCAGTGGAAATTACAGCTTTTCTTTTGTGTACTGCTGCGAAAACTACGCGAAGTAGACTTGTAAACGGACTTCCCAAGGGCTTGTCATGTTTATAGAATCTTTTCCCAGAGAGGAAAACAAAAAAGCCTAATATATTAGCAGCTAAGCAGAGACCAAACCCGAAAGTCCAGCTGATGTTTTCTTCTGCGTAGACAATGGCAGTTGTACTTACAGCAGCGGCAAAATACCATGTGAAGAAGAACCAGTTGAAAAAACTGCCTTGGTCTTTAGTTTTCTTATACTGATTAGCACCAGCAGTGGCCAAGGTGAACCTGCTTCCACCTGCTCCAACACAGGCTAGAGTAATGGCTAAGTAAAGGAACCCGAGCTGCATTTTTGAGGGGGGCTCACATAGGCTTGACCCGGTCTCGCATGATTTGGGTCTCAAAGAGTCAACTGATACGATTAGAGTCGGCAGACAAACGCCCTGATCAAGGAGTTGAAGAAGTTGGTGAGTTTTATTCAGAGACAGGGTTGGCCTCTATGATTATTAGAGGCCTAATATTTTTTAAAGAGTATATTTCTAAGTAAATTCGTTTGTTGTTGCCAAAATATAAATAATTTTTGTTTTATATATTTTCATAACTAGAATTATTATTACTAATTTTTTCATATAATTATTATTGAGAAAATGACTAAAATAGACCTAAATTTTTTTATCACAAATATAGACCTTGACAATTAAAATGACCAAAATAACACTTAAATGTTTTATTAAATATATATTTATACCCTTTGGGTTAACTAATCTTAGACTTTTTGTTTAGAGTTGAGGAATGAGGGTTTTGGAGATAGGGTTTTGAATTTGAAAAAATTAAAAAATTTAAATTTTTAAAATAAAAAATGCTATTTTGGTCATTTTAATTTTTGAGGTCTATTTTGTGATAAAAACTTAAAAAATGACTATTTAAGAGAATTACCCATTATTATGAGTTCTATGTTTTTTTCAAAAGACTTTAAATTATATATAAAATAAATATGATCAGGGCCTGGAAATGTTTTGAGCCAAGCCCTGTTCAGAGACAAACAAAAATTTAATGTGTTTTTTCAGAACTTTACCATTAAAGAAATGAAAGCAGACACAGAGATAACAGGAATGGTTCCAAAGAAAGAGTCTGCTGCTATGGCTCCAACAACTGGAAACAGAAAAGTACAACCACTAACTATGGTTGTAATCTGAGCAGCCGCAATACTCTTCATGTTGAATTCCTCAATTAAGAAGACGATCAGGTTAAATAACCAACCCAACACAGCTATTGACAGGAATAACAACGTAGCTGCACCATAGAAAAGTAGCTAAAATATGAACTTACTTCTTCTACTGTTATATGAATGTTGTTAAATAATCAGAGAAGAAAAACTCTTTACCTATCATAAACGGGAAGGTGATCCAACCCCCGTTGCGGCGTTTGGTGCTAGAATCTGCTGACGTCGGTGCTTCTGCATCGCTCGAAACAGCCATTTCTAAAGAAAGCAAGAAGATATATATTTCACTAAGTTGTTACAATGACCATAAATACTTGAGATATATAAGCAAGGAATATAAAGACGAGGATGAATGATATCGATGATTGGCGATGATGACAAGTTCTCTTCGAATATTTTTTTTATATAAAAAAAGACTAGCAACGTGCATTTCTGTGAGTTAAGCCATCTCTGTCAGCTTCTGACAACATGTGTGAAGGCAGCTCTTTCAGTCTACCATTTCAAGAAGTCAACTAAGCTTGTTGTCCTGTACTAGAGGAGATACTAAAGAATGATCCACTTGTCTATTTTTGCTAACTAAATTGATCATACATAGGGGCACGGTAGGATTTGGGCATCTATCTATCTATATATATAAATGATAGTTTGCATCCCTCTTATTCATCCACGTAGGATATTCCAAACTTCCCGTCCTGCCACGTGTCTAAAAGGAAATGGGCCTTTTAAAATTTCTTGGCCCTAAAACATTTTAGTGAAAGGCCTGTCTTTTCTTGGGGTCTCCCGTCTCCTTTTCCATCATTGTGAACTCATATCTCAAATTTCTCAATGTCGATTCGTCTTTCATCGTTCCTGGGTTATATGCAGATTCGTTTATCATTGATGATAGTATTTATCACTCCCCCACGATCCAATCAATCTCCTCTTATCAGTTTATAGTCGGTAGAGAAGGTGTATATATAGTGGTCAGATCCTCATTTTCTCAGAATCATTCACGATCTTATACCTCACAGATTCATTAGTTTCTTTCGTAATGGCTTTGAGCAGAGTTTTTTTTTTTCCGATTTGAGGTCCGGTCGCTGCTCCTCCACAGTCGAGGTCCGCCTGCTCCGGTTCTGGGAGTCGAGAAATCCACGCCGTGGTGGCGAGAAATCCACGCCGTGGTGGTGAGTTGATGTGGATTGACATGCTTTCGGTCGACGTCAATGTAAGATAATTTTTCATTGTCAATTTTTCATCGACATATATTATTCCGACAACCATTTTCTTAATCTCTCCCGTGTTTAAATATTTGGGTGTCTTTTCCTCTCCGTTTCTTATCTGATGTACCGTTATGAGATGATTTGATCCGGTCATTAATGCTCTTCATAAATCCTTTAATCCATTGCAACCACGCGTTATCCATCAATGCCTCTTCCCTCCTTTAAAGTGGTGAATCTACAGCTATAAAAATGTTAGACTTCATTCCATGAACATCATCCTCACAAATCTTAAAAACCCTTGAAACTTTTTTTTTCAGTAAAAAATCTTGAATTTGGATAATTTTTGTTTGGTTTGTTGATTTTGAAAACTTGAGTTTAGATGATTTTGGTTTAATGATTTTATTTTTGTTTGTTGGTATAACGTGGTAGAAAGAAGAATTGGATGAAATTCAGCAGATGAGGAATACTTCTATAATTTAGTTGGAAGCTGTAAATCCAATCACCCATAGATTTTGGTTTTGTTTATTGATTTTGTTTCATTTACAAATAGATTTGATATTTGTTGTAATCTGTTTCATTTATTCCTCCCGCAGGCCACGCTAATCCAAGGGTCAATCAATGTTCACCGTCATAACTCATCCCAACATATCTTGCAAGAAGGCTCGGTGTCTGAGTTAAGTGATTTTGATCCTCATTTATTTTTTCTTGGTTTTGAACTACTTTAGGGATGAGGTTTGCAAGACATCACATGATATGATCTCCCACGCTTCATCCAGGACATTGTCTGGAAGAACTACACTTCCCACCTCAAGCTTTCAGAGTTTAATTTTCTCTCAGCATAAGTCGTTCACTGTCGCATGAATCTATGATCGCAAATATCGACTACCATTACCTACCTTTGCAGCCCATGTAAGTCCTCCGAAATTGTGTTACCATCCGTCTCCTTATCCATGTAGCTACTAGCAAGTTCTTTGTTTGTGGACAAGGTGGCGACGACAACAACCTGACAATGTTTGTGCTTCTTTCAATAGACATTTTGGTCACCCCTTCTCCACTGAATGGCATCTCCCTGCAGATATGGGACATACATACCTGCAGATGCGGTCCAACCAACAGCAAGCATTGCCCAACTGAATTCCAACATGAACACAGTGGATGATCCACAAGGGTCAGTACCATGGAACCCACCCAGGAAGGTCAGGAGGGTTTAGTTTCTTGCATGGATAACTATAAAGAAACATGCCTTCGTTTGCAGCTATGCTTCATTTTAGTTCTTTCATTCCACATTTTGCAAATAAGGATTTAGCCACATGGTCCACCATAGAGTTTGTCTCCCTTCTGGTTATGTTACTTAGCAAGACTTTTAAAATATCAAATATTGTTAATTTCCCAAAACTCTGGCAAGATTAAATTTGAGATTGTCAAAACAAAAATATAACAAGCCAGCTACCTCAGTGAGCCTTTTTAAATATCAACTATTGTTTTAAATATCAAATATCAACTATTGTTAATTTCCGAAAACTCTTGGCAAAATTAAATATAAAATTGTCAAAACATAAAATATAACAAACCATCTACCTCTTATGTTCTACGTGATTGGAAAAGTAAAGAATTTTAGACAACCCCACCATTGTAAGACAATCCCATTCACAGTTGTTAATTTCACAAGTCCTATCCAAACATCAATACAGTGGTGAATTATTTGGAAGAGGAGGTATCACATGCATACAATAGTATACATAATTAATAAGCGCTTGCAGAAACAAAATCTCTAACGTCCATGCCTCTAAGTATTTAGTGTTTGTACGACTGACGCCTGCACTAACATATAAATTGATATACAGTGTGGGAACGTCAACTTCGTAAGGTTCACTATTAGGAGAACATCGTAGTAGTCTCTTTCCATCCGTGTACATCAATTATCTCCGCTTTTACGAGATTTTGACAAGTCGATGTGAGTTTCATGTAACATGGAATATATATCGTCTCAGAGCGTAAGGAGACGCATGTGCTACGTAGTTATAAAGCTATTTTTTTTTAATTAGCATTGCAGACACTGTTTGGTTCTATATATGCACACGTGTTGCTAAATGCTAAGCTATCTCCACATATCATCGTTGCCGTATACAAAACCACCGCATTATAAGGGAAAGAAGAAGACTGAATACAAAACAGGAGTTATAAGTGAACTGAGACATTTCTACAATCCAATTAATCTAACTAAAATTTAACTAATTTTCTTTTCATTTTTCTCTTATATATAATTTTCAATAACAAAAATATTAAAGTTCAACTTTGTAAGACATAAATAATTGAATGATCTAAAATAACTTTAAAATTTTCAAGCAATTTATATTTTAATAATATCTTATAATATGTTAAATATACATATAAAATATATAATAATATTAAAAAGTAAATAAAATTCCCGGGCGTATCCCGGGCCAACCCTAGTAAACTAATAAAACAATGGTTTTAACACTCAAAACTTTTGAATTTTTTTATATAGGTATAGGCCCTCAAAATTATGAATTTTTTTATTTATTAAAGTTCTTAAATAAATGTGTATATCCTCCAAAATCTTAGATCCGGTTATGCATAATGATGCTGTCATGGATAAATAATCCTACCCGATCCTAACCCGAATATAACCCACCCATGGCTGGTTCAATACCATGGTGGACCTCGGTGCAAAAAAAAATCCAATAAATAATATTTTTATAATTTTTTTTTAAATAAAATATAAAATTATTTATTTTTAAGAGGTTAAATTAGTTTATATTATTATATGTTTATTACACTATATATAAATATATTATTTTACATGTAATTAAAACATAAAAATTTCAAAAATAAATAAATGGTATGAGCTCCGGGCGGTCCCTGACCGCCCCATATACTCAGTCCGCCTTGAACCCACTAAAACAAACCCGAGTTTGGAAATCTGGAAACAAATCTTATATCTGTAGGGTAACTCATATATTTTTTATTTAATTAAATTTAACTAAATCAATTTTGATTATGAATATATGACTATTTATTTTTCAATCAAGTTTCTTACATAACATTATTGATTTTCAATTTGCAAATTGTGTTTGAATCTTGTAAATTAGCAATATTTTTAATTTTATGATTATCATAGCTTTCTTGATTAATACAAAATTTGAAATACTAAAACAACCAATACACATTCATCAATGACAACAATATAAGCTTATACTAGGGCTGGGCAATCGGGGTCCCAATCGGGTTTCGGTTCGGGTTCATTCGGGTTTCGGGTTTTTGGGTTCATGAATTTCTGCCCCATTCGGATATTATAAAAATTCAGATCGGATTCGGTTCGGGTTTAATCGGGTTCGGTTTGGGTTTAGTAACATGTCCAAGATCCGGTTGAACCCGAAATAGTTTCGGTTACGGATACTAATCGGT